GGCCTCCTCGGCTCCCTGCCTTGCACCGGGGGGCCACCACCCGCTCCCTGGGGACCGCTCCAAGGCTGCATCCTTCCAGCCCCCCGGCGTCGTCGTGCCAAACCGGTGGTGTTCGTAGTGGGATGTGGCGCGAGCTTGCCATCGCGGGCCTCGGCACCGGCCTGGCTCTGGAGGAGCGGCCGCATGCCCCGGGACCGGACGGAGCCCACGTGCCACCCAGCTCTGCAGGGAGGATGCCAGGAGCAGCGCAGAGCCCTGTTCATACAGCCACGGCTCCCCTGCCTACGACCCTGGAGGTCTTTGGAGCCCCGAGCTAGTCTCAGAGTCGCTCCGGGAGCACGAACCAAAAGTCCTGAGCAGGGCTTCAGAGTCCCTGTGACTTACCTATCCTCGCAGGGGCCCTTGACCTAGCCCATTCCCCTCCTCCGGGGACCAAGGACGACGGCTTCTCCTTAGCTGGGAACCCCGTCCAGGGCTTCGCCCCCCCTCCTCGCGACACGGCTTTCCCTAAGAGCCAACCTCACCTTCCTGTGCCGCCACGCGAGCCCCCAGCTCCTTGCTCTCTCACCCACCACCGCCAAGACCAGTCCCGCACCAGCCTCTTTGCGACCGCCTTTCAGGGAGTTGACGGCTGCTATTCAATCCCCTCCTGGCCTCGTCTCCTCCAGACAACAGCGGCTCAGGGCCCAAACCAGTCACGTCACCCTCCGCTGTGCGCTCGGCAACACGTCCGGGGCTTGCCTGCAGCAGGGGACACGGGACTCCGGCTGGGGCCTCACCAGTGCCAAGCAGAGGGGAAGACTCGCTTCCCTCGACCTGTTGGCAGCGCTCCTGCCGACGCAGCCCAGGATGCCGCCCAGCCCTTCGGCCCCCATCCCGTCCTGTCCCGAGGGCCAAACTTGGCACGTCTCCATGCTGAACAGCATGAGATGCGTCCAGGACCGTCTCCTCGCAGGCTGTCCCTGGCTCACCACATTGTTCCCCCACAAAGACCCTGGCACGCCACTCCTGCGGCCGGGGACAAAAGGCCCCGGAGGTCCGACGCGGACCGAGGCGGAGCCCGTCCGGGGTCTGAGACTGTGCCTGAGATCGGGGCAACGAGCCAGAGGGTGGCGAGCTGGGTGGGACGCGGCCGTTTGCAGGCCCCGGACCAAGCCCGACTCCCCCAGTGTTCGGGCCCACGGAGACGCATGCTTGCACGCAGGCTCGCCACTCCTCTTCCGACAGCTGTTCGGAAACGGGTTCGGGGCCCGAAATACCCCCAGAGCCGGGCCCCATGGATCCCGGGGGCTGTTCCGCTTAGGAGCCCTGGACCCAGCGAGGACAGTGTATCTGCCCGCAGCTAGTGGCTCTCCCGACTCCGAACGCCCTCAAACACGTGCCGCCGAGCTGGGGATAGCCAGGAGGGTGGTTGAGCCCCCTTCCGGGACCCGGCCTGCTCCCCTACCCAGGACCCACTCTGCACGCGGTGGAGCCGGCTGGGCCCTCAGCTCCCGCCCGCCCTTCCCCTACATGGGACGCTGGCACCGTCTCGACCATGACCCGGGGCTCCGCAGAGGAGACCCGTCCTGGCTCCCTCCCAAGCAGCGCAGTCTGCGGAAACAAAGGCCCTCTCTCCTCTCCTCGGTCTATAAATAGCCGCCAATTCCGCCGTCGCGGCCTCTGCCCAACCGCAGGTTTGGCTTCGCCTTGCCACTGTTTTGCTCTCCTCTCCTTTCTTCTCCCCGGCGATTCGTCTAAGCGCCCACGGCTCCGTGGTCAAATAGTTCGCGCACGGCGCGCTCGCGACGCGTTCACAAGAGAATGGCTTCACTCGGCCTCTCTGACCCGGCGGCGGATGTTTAGCTTTCCTGCCCGTTGAACATACCCTCCGGGGCTGGCAACTCACCCGGCCTTTTGTGTTTGAGCACTGAGGCAGGCAGTGCCCTGCTCTGGGCTTAGACTGGGGAGGGGGTTGCACTCCCAGTTGCTGCCTCCGCATTCTCCTCCTGCCAAACGGGCGCCCGGGGCTGCCGACGCTCCTGCCGGCCCTGGGATCATTGCGGCCTGGCTCGAAGCCCCGGCCCCAGGAGACAAAAGACGGTCTGGGGGCATCGCGACCCCTCCACGTGGTGCTCCAGGCCTGCCGCTGGCTCGTGACCCCAGCGCCACCGGCTCCTCGCACAAAGGGGCTCCAAACCCATGGAGGGCTCCCACCGCTGCGGGGCCATTGTCCAGCGGGAGCTCGGGCCTCGCCGCCTTGACCACGGCACCTCCCTCTCACGCGGGAGGGAGGTGCCATGAGGCAGGGCTGGGATATTTTGAGGCCGGGCTCATCATTTCCACGCTGTTAGGGGGTTCCTGGGAAGGGCCGCTACAAAGGGACCGGGGGGAAGTCGGGCTTGGGGGGAAGAGCCGCGCTGGCACACGAGGCACCACGGCCCAGGAGGAGCCTGGCCAGCGTGACCCCGCCACACGCCCTCCTCGGACCCTGAGGCCATTCAGGCTCATGCCAGCAGCCAGCTGCTCCTCGGCCCCAAAAGCCGCCCAGCCCCAGCCTGGGACATGGGCGCACGGCAGAGGGGGGCTTTCGAGGGCTCCTCCCAGAGGGCCGAGCACAACCCTGGCTCTGGCGCCCAGGCCATTCGGAGAGCACACCAGAACCAGGGCAGCGGCGGCGACCCTGGAGAGGCCAGGGCAGCCCACTATGGACGCACGGCAGCAGCTGCCGGCCCCCAGAGGATTGCCCAACGCAGCTGTGCCACTAACAGCACGCTGCGAAGCGCTCCTGGTCCCTGGCAGGTGCCCCACAGCCACTTCCACCCGCAGCCTGACTCACGTGCCAGGTCCCCGGGGAGAAGGCTGCCAGAACCGGGACCCAACCCTCCGGGCCCCTGCCCAAAAGGGCGTCTCATGAGCGGCGTGCCATTGCTTGCCCGCAGGACCTGCAGCCAGTGCGTGGCATTTGTTGGGTACCACACGGCTGCCACTACACACCTGTCGCATGGCTTCTTTCCCAGGCCCCCCCCTCGGGCCTCCATTTCCACGGCAGGCGCTCGCTCACGTCTGTGTGGCATCGGCCAGGGCCGCGGCAACTGCGCACCTGGCGCCGGTTGCTCGCACTCGTCCTGTCCGACGACATCGCAGCGGCTCGCCGCAAGGCACGGGGGAATCCTGCCAGCCAGGCGGCGGCCTGGCACCAATGCTGCGGAGCCAAGATCCGGCAGGGGACAGGGCCACGCCGCGGCTGTGGGCTCCCTGCTGCCCGCCGGGACGCCCCGTCTTTGCCTCTGCCTGCCATTTCTACATGGTTGGGAAACTCCCTTCTCCCCCAGCCGGCACAAAGCTGAGCCTCTTCGGCGGCATGCGGGGAGGGCAGTTGGGTGCCGCGCAGGGACGGGAGCGCGAGGCGTGGCTCAGGCACCGGCAATGCTTCGGCCTCTCCCCATCTCCACGCAGCCACACGCTCTGCGGAGAGCTAGCGATGGGTACGCACAAGGACCCACACCTTTGCGGGACAAACAACAGCGGTAGGCATCGCCGGGCGCCAGAAGCAGGTGGGCGCGCACGACCGAGCCACACGCTGTGACTGGTGGAGCAGAGTGCCACCTCTGCAGGCCTGAGTGCTGCCTCCCGCATGGGCGGCTCCCTTCTCCCCGGCCGAGGCAAGGAACGGGGTTCGGGGGCCGGGGCGCGGGACGTGCAAGGATGGGCCGAGGGAACGGGGCCTGTTCTGTCAGCAGAGCCGGAGACGGAGCAGGGACCAGCCAGCAGCTGTCAACTCCCCAAAGCCGGGTCGGACAGAGGCTGGGGCCAGGCTGCTCTCAGTAGCCATGGGCTCCAGGTGCGGCAAGGGAAGTTGAGGTGGGATAGGAGGGCAACCTCGCACGAGGAGGGGCATCAGGCACTGGCACCGGCACCGGGAGGTGGCGTCGTCTCCTTCCTTGGGGGCTTTCAAGACCCGGCTGGACAAAGCCTTGCCTGAGACGCTCTAGTCGGGACCGGTCCCGCTTGGACTAGCTGCGACCTCCCGAGGTCCCTTCCCAGGCAGTCCACCGCGTTGACAGAGGGGCAGAGGGGTAGACACGACAGGGGACGCCGGTCAAATGCCAAGGACCGTGGCATCTGCCGTGCGTCCCGGGCACCGGAGATGGGGCCGGCAAGCCCACCATCTCCACCCCGGGCAGGCATCGGCGCCCGTTCGGAGGCCCGGCCACGAGCGCTGCTGTCGCAGGGCCTCCCTGGGAGCCGAGTCCACTCGCTGCCGGGCCTCTGTCCAGCCCTCGCCCCTTGGAGAGACACAGCCCCAGAAATGGGGGGGGGCTGAGCCCTTTCGGGGGGGAGGCCGCCACCTGGAGTCACAACGGCAGGCCCAATCAGGGCAGGGGGCAAGCTGGGCCCCGGGCAGACCCCCCCACCCGGGCCTCCCTACCCCTGGACCACTCGGGGACCCGGCTCTGCGGGCAGGGGAGGCTGCCCAGGGCGAGGGGCACGCGGCTGGACTGGGCTGGGGGGCAGCGAGAACGAGGGGCAGGCTCCAGGGCGCCTGGCACAGGGGGCGCGGTTCTCTGCCTTGCCCGCCGCTGGCCCTTCCCCACGCTAGCCTGTCCCCGAGCTGCAAATGCCGCGCGGGGACAGGCTCCCCGCCGGCGCCCAGCTCTCCTGGCGATGCTGTGGCCAGCCACGCCAGAGAGCCTGCACCCAGGCACCCAGCTGGCGCTTCTCTTTTCGCCAAGGAGTCTGCAGGAGCCGACGGCGCTCTCCCCCGCCAGGACAGCCGCCAAAGGCCAGCCCGGCGGGTCGTCTCCCAGCTGCCTTGGCTCCGGGGAACGCGGGCTTGCCCATCCCAAGCCCCTGCCCTCGGCGCGCCGTCCCGGCCCCGGAGCGCAGGCAGCATGGGTGTCCCGGGACGAGGGGCGCTCGGCAGCTTAACTGTTAAACCGCAGCGAGCCGGCTCTGCGCTGAGCTCACTCTGATGTCACGCCTGTAACTTGAGCCGGCTTGGCCTCGCGCCCGGGCTGCCTTTAAATACCGGTCCCGGCAGCGCGTTTCGCACCGGTCCCGGAGCAGGCGACCTCGATGAAAGCCCCGAGCGGAGCCTCAGCCATGTCCACGTCCCTGCGGGTGAGCCCGTCGGTCCACGGCTACCACTTTGACACCGCCTCACGCAAGAAAGCCGTGCCCGACATCTTTGAGGCCATCAGCCAGGAGTCGCTTCAGAAGCTCTTCAGGAACTCAGGCGACAAGAAGGCCGAGGAACGGGCCAAGATCCTCCTCGCCACGGACCAGGACTCGGAGGACCGCACGCGGGCCTTGCTGGCCCTGAAGCAGCGGAGAAGAGACAAGCTCCTCCAGTTTCTGACCCTGCGGAGATACTCCCTGAAAGTGCACTGAGCCGCCGCCTGGGAAAGCACCGGGAGAAGATAGCGCAGGAACAAGACGGTGCGCAGGACATGGTCCCGCGCACGGCCTTCGCCCCCACCGTGCAAGCTTCCGGCAGGACGAGGGGCCCTGCAAAACGGGCCCCAAGCAGTCGCTCCCACCACACCCCCCGCAGGCGGAGAGCCGAGCAGAGGACAGCAGCCCGTGCTCGCCGCGACCGCACTTGCCGGACATCGCCCTCGTCCCTACACCGCGCAGAGGACCCCCGCGACCGGGCCATGACACCCGGCACTCCTCAAATGCCCCGACAAAAGGCACCGCGCGGGAGGCAGGAGCCGAACTTTCAGGGGCTGCCTTCTCCCGAGGCATCCGACGTGACCGCCTCTCTCGTCCCCTCGCGGCACGGTGTCCCTGCCTTACGACTCGTTTGCGCAGCAGCCACCCAGCCGGGCGCCCTCGCCCTGAACTGCCTCGGCCAGGAAAGCCTTTGGTAGATAGCACCTTTGCTTCTCACGACTACTAAGCTGCCCCGAGGCCTGCTCGGTCTCGCGGACGGCACGATAGACAGGAGAAAACAGACTGCAAGGGGCTGGCTGTATCCCACGGTAAGACTGTAGGACAATGCTATACTGCTCTCAACTGTGATGTATGGCACACGGCCACCTGCAGCCCAATAAATTCTAACGATCGTGCGAGGTCTTTGCGTTTCCAACGTGTGACTCGGAAAGGGGAGCAGCCTTGTCCACCCGGGGGCTTTGGTGGGGGGGCCAAGGTGTGGGTGCTCTCCTCTACCACCAGACACCCCGAGCAAAAGCAGAGGCTCGACCCTCGGGGTGCAATCCTGGGCCGGCGCGGGCTGGAGGAGGCTTGCCCAGGAGCCCGCTGGTGACAAAACGCCCGCCCTCCTTCCTAGGCTGGCAGCCCCAAGGGAGCTTCAAAGGGCATTGCCCCCGACTCGCTCTGAGTTGCTCGTTGTTAGGATCCAGTCACTGTGTGCATGGTGCCTCTTCTGCCCTGGCAACCCAGCCCGCGGCCACTTAGAAACCAGGCCCGCCCAAACACACACACGCACACGCACACGCACACACACACAGAGGAGCATGTTATCTGGGCCCTCTGGGCTCTCCTCGCTCCCACGAGCCAGGCAGGATTTCGGGATACGCCTGCAGCCGTGAGGCCAACGGGCACCTCGCAATCGCAAAAGCAGGAGGAGGCCTGTCAAATCTGGCCATGTGGTCTGAGACAGCATCTGGCACCCCGGCCCCACGCCGCGGGGTCCTTGCATACAGCTGCAGGCCCCTCACTGACCCATACAGCCTCGCCCGACTGGCCAGCTAAACACGTTCGCTTCCCGTGACCCCGCTAGCTGCGTTTCCCCGTGGCGAGGCCGCGCTGAGGGCCCATAAATCAGGCGGCCTTGACACAGCTCCTTTCAATTACTTGACCCGGTCGGTAATTGCGTTTATCGATAGATTTGCACAGCGCGCGCAGATGCGCTTAACCATGAGCCTCCCCACACGCTGATCGATGGCCGTCCTACATTGCCTCCGCCCGTCGCGGGAGAGGGGCACGGCTCGCTGCTCCCGCAGGCACATGCCGGGGACGGTATTGGCTTCTTGTAGTCCGGACCTTGATGTTCAACAGGTTTGGGGTCGGTCAGAGCCGGGGCGGGGGGGGCACTCAACTCCTGGCATCGGTAGCCACAGCCGGCCGTGGGGCCCCTCGGGGCCAGCTTGGCCAGCCTGCTAGGAGCCTTCCCCGCGGGCGGGCAAGAGCTGGAAGGGGCCGGGGGGCTCTTTGCACAGGCACGCCACCAGCGGCGCACCCGCATCTTCGCCAGAGGGATTCGACACGATTCGGATCCCACGGCATGCCAGGGCGTACAAGCCCCCAAAGAAAACCTGCCTGTGCTCCAGAAACGAGCCCTCACCGCGAGGCTGCTCACGCATCCCCAGTCCCGGCAAAGTCCTGCTCCGCACTGCTGTCGGGCTATGGCTCGGGGGTCTGCCCCCGCGGCGAGCGGCCGGCCCGCCAAACCAGCGGCTCGTGCCACGCACGGCAGGATGCGTGCATCTGGGAAGGAGCCCTGCACCCGCTCCACAGGCCCGTGGCCCTGGGCACTGTGCTGTGCTGGCACCCTTCCATTAACCTGTCCCCCTCTTTGAAAGCCCCCGCCGCTCGGCCAAAGAGCCGCTCCATCCTCGAGGCCGGCGGGAGCCACGGGTCCAGACGGGGACGCACTGACACGGCTCTGTGTCCGGGCCTCGAGGAGCAGCAGGAAGGGCTAGCCACAGGCAGCGCCGACACCTGCTGCCAGGGTCTCAGGAGGGGAGCCGGGGCGGGGGCTGGCCGAGGCGTGCGGCGAGGGGCGCCCGGGGCACGCCAGGATGCCGCGGCTCCTGCAACGCGCCCTACCAACTAGCACACTACCCATTGCTATCTCCACCCCGCCAGGTGAGGATGGACGCGGGGTCCACCAGCCTCTCCTCTAGCAGGACGGGCATCTGGAAGGATCGGTGCCCCCTGGCAGCAACACTATGTCGGGCGCTTGCCGCCGGCCCCGTTTGCTCCTGCTAAGAGGTTGGCGACCCTCTGCACAGTGCGCTTGACACAAGCCGGTGCTTGCAGACTTTCTCTTCCCCCCGGCCCCCAGGCGTTGGACTCAGTAGCCCAAACGGGCTCCCGGGTGAGGAAGCGCCGTGTACAAACAGGCCGCAGGCTTCTGGGGCCACTCTACCCTGTCCCCTGCATTGCCCCATCATGGTCCCCGCCCTCTCGCCTCCGGCGCCCTGCCTGCAGGGTCTGCCTTTCCGGCCTGGGCGCCGCTGCTCGTGTCCGCGACAGACCTTTTCCGCTTCGCCAGGGAAGCACCCTTCTCACGCATGGCGCCCCAGTTTCAGGGGCCTCCCAAGGGAGCTCTCCCCCCAGCTGAGCACAGCGGCGCGCCCCTGGGCGAAGGTGTCCTACGGCCAGGCGGCCCCGCGCTTTGTGCCACGCCACAGCTGGGACGCACCCCGGGGAGGCATGCTGGAGCAGGTCAGCTGCGTCACACCGGCCCCTTCCCGAGCGCTCGCCAGTGTGGACGCAGCGTCTGTTGCAGCTTGCGCACCCCGTTCTTCCGACGGGCCAGAAACGGGGCTGCCAGACGCGCAGCCTATTGTCCGAGCCCCCGTGCAACAAACAGGAAAGGCCGGCTCGAGGCATTTCCTGCCTGCGGGAGCCACGACTCCTGTCCACCCCGTCTGGCTGGCTGCGCTGGGGGGCCCCGGGTCTCGCCTTCCCAGAGAGCACACAGAGAGTGTGCCACGCTCGCCATGCGTGCCGGGGACAGCCGGCCCCCACTCTAGTCTGACCCCGCTTCACGCAAGCCCAGCCCCAGCTGGAGCCAGTCCCGTGCTCCAGAGCGAGGACCGGCCAGAGCGACACTCGCGCCTTTCGCTCCCCTGGGGCCTGTGCATTTGGGGGGCCTTGCCCGGGTGCACGCCGTTGGGATGTCGCTGCCCCCGGCCTCATTCCGGGCACGGGAGGGGCGGCGCTTGGTGCCCACCGCCCCCGGCCCCACGCCGCCACCTGCTCGCGAGTGCCCCCGACTCAAAGCAGAGGCTCCGTTAGTGGACTCTGCCCCCAACGCGGCAGCCTTCGCAAAGGAAGACTGGCTTCCTCCTGCCCAGGGGAGCGCAGCAAGCTCACAATGACCAAATAAGGGCCCGTGCTCCCGGGCCAGAGCAGGGCCACTGAGTCACGCCAGCCTGACCACTTCTGAAACGGCTCATCATTGCGGCAGCGAGGCAGCCTGGCCTTCTCGGGCCGGCTGGCCGCCCACCTGCGGCTGCTATGACAAACAACTCGGCGATCATCCCCAGCTTCAGCTGCTTCCTGCCCATTTCCTCCAAGAAGCAGGACGGGCTCCCGGCAGCCTGAGGCTGCGGGCACTCTTCCACGACCTGCCCCAACAGGCTGGGGGGGATCTGCCGCGGGGAGACCTCGCTCGTCATCTCCTCCCCAGAGGAAACACTCCCCGCCCCAGGGTTGGCGCTCTCGGGACCGATCCGGCCCAGACCCGGGCTAGCCCAGGCACGCTGCAGTGGAAAGCACCGGCTGCGCAGACCACAGCCACATGCGGCCTTGCTCGCAGGGGTCAGGCCGCTGCGCTCCTTTCCTCTGCTCCTCTTTCTCCAGGGCTGCCGGACAGCTGCCCGGCGCTTGCCACAGTCCCCTGCCTTTACTGGGAACACATCCCTTCGGGTCGCTTCTCACAACTCAGGGCTTGGGTTTCTGCTTCTGGAGAAGCCCTGATGCTTCGCGGCACCATCTTGATGCGCTGCGAGACACTCGGGGCACTTCTCCAAAGAGAGGGCCTTACTCATCCAGGGGTGCAGAGGACACCTGCAATTCCTTGCTAAGCCCGGTTTGTTCGTTTCTGAAACGGCGGGCCGCCAGGACGGACGAGCGGCAAGTGCGTACGCGCACGCGAGATACAAAGCTTAGCTTGGTTGTGACCCGTCTGCTGGTGGCCACTCGTTCGTGCCCCTCCACTACAGTCAGCGCTGTCCGCCCGTGCCCACCTTGCGGCCTGACTTGTTTGGCCTGTGCTACAGAAGGCCCTGGCGCCAGCCACGCTTTATGCCTGGCATCCATGGCTGCACCAGAGCCTGGCCGCTGGGCCCTGTCCCTCGGACAGACACACGGACCTCACCCCAGAGCTCGCACCTCACTCGCCGAGGCGTCCCCTGGGGCACGCTCCTCAAGCCCACGCCCCCTTCACAACCAAAAGCCCGTTCGGTGAGGGCTGCTCGCGGCCCACGGTTGGCAGATGCAGCTTCAAGCCAGGGACTTGCTCCCGACACTAGGTCCTGGGCACGAGGCGGCTGGTTATATCGGAAGGCTTTTTGCAGGCGATCACTCTGCAGACATGCACTACCGGGGGGTAAAGGGGGGGGCGGGGGGGGGCATCGATTTGCAGGCACGGACCGGAGACGCGCTCTGCATGTTCCCTAGATAACAGATCAAATTACACAAACAGAGCTTGTAAACAGCCGTGCATAATAAATGATCTACCCCGTGAAATGGATTGACCGCCGATCAATTTTAAACGGGTGACCTACAAGTTCGGCCTCACCAAAACCAAATTATTCTCAGGGCAGGGGGGGCTTCTCCTAGATTTATGCGGGCTGCATTATTTGACTGTCCTTCAAGTAAATGGGAAATAAGATAGAATCGCGCGGTGATAAAGTAGCTTGGCAAAACAGAATTCCCAAATCCAGTCGTGGCTGAGTTCAAAAGCTCATCGATAATTCAGACACAGACAGACCGGGCCCGCTGCAAGGCACGTGACTGGAATAGAGCCGACGCGCAAGGCAACGCGTTCACGCAACGCCCGCCAACGGCTTCGCTTCAGCCGGAGAAAGCCACACGTCAGCCCCCCATCCTCCGCACCTATTTCTTACCAATGCGTACATGCCCACACGCACGCATGTGCGCGGATCGCTCCTACGGGAGCCCACGAGACCGCGCCGGCAAGCGATTGGCACCGCTGCTCCACGGCTCGGCCCGGCTCTGCTCCAGCCCACAGAGCGGCCATGAATGGCACCCGCCAACGCTCGGACCCATCGCGCCAGCGAGAATACCGCATCCTCCGAGCCCCTGCTCCCGACACCTGGCCCGTGCCGGGGCCTTCTGACAGCTGCACG